TTTTTAAGACGGATAGACGGCAGACGGACGGACGGATGGATGAGTGGGTAAAAAACGGACGGACAGGAGGGTAAAATGCGGACGGATGAGAGGGTAAAATGCGAACGGACGGTGGGAGGGTAAAATGCGGATATGAAGGCATATACAGGGTGTATAAAAAAAAACTGAACAGATTTGAAATTGCTCTCAATTTCGCAAAACACCTATTTGTATCCGGTTTTTTATATATAGAGCTTCTTTGGGTACTTATAATGTAGAATAATGAAAAAAATTTCTCAAACTCAAATTTTGTGAACCAGGGGGGTGTGTCTTTTCCAACAAACTAAAAATGGCTCGCGCACAAAATTTAAAAGTTGTAATCATATTTTGAGTTAACAGATGGAAACTTTGTTGAGATTTTAATTACTGTACAAAATTTCAGACAATTTGGTTTAGTTTAAGCCCTTTAACTATTCATTTTATTCTAAAAAATCAGCCTTTCGCATGCTTAATTAATGCCTTTACCTAATTTGCATATTGTTAACATATGCAAATTAGGCAAAGGCATTAATTAAGCATGCAAATAGCTGATTTTTAGGAAAAATGTAACTTTGCGTGAATAGTTAAAGGGCTTAAACTAAACCAAATTGTCTGAAATTTTGTACAGTAATTAAAAACCCGACAAATTTTCCATCTATTAACTCAAAATATGATTACAACTTTTAAATTTTGTGCGCGAGCCATTTTTAGTTTGTTGGAAAAGACACACCCCCCTGGTTCACAAAATTTGAGTTCAAGAAATTTTTTTCATTATTCTACATTATAAGTACCCAAAGAAGCTATATATATAAAAAACCGGATACAAATAGGTGATTTGCGAAATTGAGACCAATTTCAAATCTGTTCAGTTTTTTTTTTATACACCCTGTATAGCGTTATTCACGGATATGAATAAATAATGGTAAATTATACGAAGATTTCTCCAAATATTTCTCTAATGATAGTTCTGTGAATTATATATATAATTATATGTTTTTAAAACCCATCAAAATTTATTTAGCCCCCAGTCTCTATTTCCGCCCCCCCCCCCCGCCCTCTAATAAGCCCCAGTCCAGAACCACTGGGATTCCATGTTAGGATTCCGTTGCTAACGTCCTTTAAGTTGAACATGTACATCCATTTTGACGTTGTATTTAATGTTTGTCAGGTTGACACACATATCCACGCAACTGCCTGTATGAGTCAATACTCATTGCTGAAGTTCATGAGACGTAAAGCTAAGAATAGCCCCGATGATATCGTGGCGGAGAAAGATGGAAAAAAGTTGACCATACTTGAGGTATGAAAATCGATTTAAGATTCCCTACTTTTAATTAATTTACATTGCAATTAGTGTCATATTACCCTTCAAAAACTCATTAATAATTAATAAAAAATCAAAAAATTCAAAAACTCATTAATAATAAGCGTGTCGTATCTTTATATGTGATAGAGATTTCCCTTGATTTACATAAACTTTAACTTTGATTTTCTCGACTTACACAACGTATTTTTTGAAAATGAGTTCGCCAATGAACTTACTAGATCGATCGTTTTTTAAGCAATTTAAAACATTCAATTCGCAGTGCGTGTTTTATCAGACCTAAAGATACTCGGCTTCGCCTCGTATCTTTATATCTGATAAAACACTGCTGCTCATGTTTTATATAGTACATAAAATGTTTCACTTTATGATCGCTGGATAGTACTGGTTATTCGAAATTCGATTGGCTTAATCCTAGGTTAGGGTAAAGTTTAAAACAAATTCGCCCCACTTTTCGAAAAATCTTGTTATAAAACGAACCGACGTGCAGAAATGTGCAAACCAAAACTCAATTTGAATATTTGATGCTGCATGGCCGGTTCTTTTTTCGGCAATACTCCTGGTGTAAATTCTATGCAGGACACACCCAGGAGTAGGGCAACTCCATAAAGTGATTCATTGCAATTGAGTGAGAATTAACAGCCTACAATGACAAATCTTCATATACGAAAAATCAGTTTTGTAGGCCAAAAAATAGCGGCCTACAATTTCATAATTTGTTGGCCAACTTTTCGTCCAGTTTTAAACACTGGAAATCCCGGCTTGCCGAATGGCTGGTCAGATAAGGTTTTGGCAGCGAAGAAACACAAAAACTAAACATTCCGAAATACTTTTAATCGCAAAACATCATGCATGCAAAGGAACATTTAAAAAATTGTGAATGTGTAGGTCAATATTGAAATATGTTGGTCAAACCTAGCATTCGGCCTGCAATATTTGAAAATAATTGTAGACCAGAAAAATTCTTATAGTATAAGCCATGATCTGTTCAGCTTTAATGTTGGAGTAAATTGACACTATGCATCATGCATGTACAACGCCCCTGACTATGTTGATTGTGTTTGATTATTTTAGTTCTTTGACAGTCTTGGTCTAAGTCCTGACGATCTTAGTGTGGATAGTTTGGATGTTCATGCAGTAAGTAGCTTACGAAATAATATACTGTACCAAGTAACTTTATATTCGTTGAAATTGGAATTCGGAATTTCTTTCTTATATACTGACTGCAATATTCCTTTTTGCTTCAATCAGGGGGAAGAGACATTCAATCGTTTTGACAACTTCAACAAGAAGTATAACCCAGCCGGTATGTAAAAACAAAGCAGAAATAATACATATTAGAGAATGAGTAAACCTATGAACTTTTCTCTTTTAAAAAAATTGTTTGAATACGGCAGACTTACATATTCATAAACCAGGACTTTGCATTTGAGCTTATTTCACCTCTGTCTATAGAGATATTTAACAATTATTCACCGAAGTGGAGGCTTCGCGTTTCGGCGAATATATTTCACTATTCACCGACACTGAGTTTTAGCATGTACACAACAAAAGAAAAATGACCAAAGAAACAACGAAAGGATTTTTAAAACAATTTGTAGTTCAGCTCCCGTAATAGTTGTAAACAAAACACTAATTACACGCTTTTTAGTAATTTTATTTATTAGAAATAGCTTCAAAGAATACTTCTACACACTGTTAAACAAAACTTTGTGCATTTCATCATGTTTGGCGAAACCGCAACTTCATTTTTTTAGCAGGAAAATTTGTTCAGGCTGTAGCTAACGGCAACAAAACGGCCTCTGTGGTCCGGAGGTGAATATAGTGAGTGCAAGGATATCCTGAGCTCTGCAACCAGTCAAATTGCGTGCTAAAAATATTTATAAGGGACTGGTCATTATTTATGGGGAGGGGGGGTTGGTAAATGGGAGGAGTGGAGGGGAAACGAAGTTTTACCCTTATAAACAGGGGGGTCAAAAAAGTTTTAACGCAGAGAAAGGGGGGGGGTCAAAAAAGTTTTTGAACTTATTTTAAATAAATACCATGTCTAGAGTTCTGATTCCCATAATCACAAATAGCAAAAAGAAGACTCTGAAAATGCCATTTCCAACGATCTAGAGACTCAAAATTTTCAAAATTTCCATGCTCGGTGCTAACCATGGTATAGTGCCTTGTGGGAGTCGGGCCTACTAAGTTTAACAAGCTGAGTGATCCAGTTGTGGTATTTACATAAACATACCATGCAAGTACACTTAACTGATCAGATTTGGTCTACCAAAGCATAATGTTACGCTGTATATCCAAAAATCTGTTTCAGAAAATGTTCACATTTCAGTCCTAGGGGTGGAAAATTACAAAAAATTTCTGGGGGAGATACCCAAGACCCCCCTACTAGTACATACGATATCACACCAAACTTTTTGTCACCAACAACCATCTGTCATCTCTCCACGCTCAGTATAGTATGGCCCCTTTTTGTAGATGCCCACCCCCAGACAAGTTCTTAAAAAAGCCCTGTGTTGAAATCATTTCGCTGTACGAAGACGGGCCATATGGGTTAGGGTTATGGTAGGACAAATGTTGCATTGCAAAGTAGTAACACATAATATATATTTTTTAATCATATATGGTTGAATCATATTCACCAGGATAAAACATCATGAGCTAGATTAAACAGATTGTCATAATATTTAACTTTACCTGCAACGCACACCTGTTTCATTGCTGTTAATTTTGAATCCACACTGGGGGGGGTGTCAGAAAAGTTTCTACTTTTATGAGGGGGGGGGGGCACAAAAAATTTGCCTTCAGTCTGGAGGGGGGTCAAAAACGTTTTCAATCCTTATTTTCCCCATTTACCAACTCCCCCCCCCATATATAATGACCACTCCCTAACTGTTTCATCTTAATGATCTGTCTAGCCTCCTCTGGCTCTGCTGCTATAACTGCCATATGAACAAGATTATTTTCTTTTGTTTGTTTTGTACATAGTATATACAAACCATAACGTGCACGAAAAATTATGAATTAAGCCTACATTAGCTCAGGCTAGCAATTGGCATAGATAATTTTATTTATTTACTGTAATCGCCTTGTATATATATTACATAGTGGCAGGGAATCCGCACCACTTAGGACTGACATATAGTTTTATAACTACGAGGTCGAGGACCCTCAACATCGGAACATGAGTACAAAGTCAAAGAGGAATAAAAGGAAACTTTAATTACTTAAAGTACAATAAAGCTGCCGCAAATGAATAACTACACTGTAAAAACAAATTGGTTAAAACAACCAAATAAATTGGTAGTCTCAGTCTGAAGTTATTTGTTGTTTTTACAATGTATAACGAATGTTGTTAATCATCTTATTAATGTTCCTGCAGGTCAAGGCGCCCTTCGAAAATTGTTTTTGAAGAAGAGCAACTACATGGACGGACAATATTTGGCTGAACAGATTAAAGGAGTAATGGAGCTTCATGAAAAAAACAAATACGTCAACAGCGAATTGAGAATTTCTGTTCATGGCAAATACCCTGATGAGTGGCTTAAACTGGCACAATGGGCCTTGAAGTACAATATCCATTCCCCCAATGTTCGCTGGATGATCCAAGTACCAAGACTTTTGTAAGATATATTTTCCAGTATTTTCCAAGTAATTTCTTTCAATAGACACCTTCAGGAAATACTGATATATATATATATATATATATATATATATATATATATATATATATATATATATATATATATATATATATATATATATATATATATATAAACTGAAACGCTCTCACAAATCTCCTAATTCATCTTCATTAACCTTTAACCCACCCTCAACTTCCTTCCCTACACCGTCTCATGATAACAATAATCACCCGCATTCGATAGTAACTAATGGCAACCAACATACTGAAATCCATCAACCAATCAGACGTTCCCACAGACTTCAACAACGTCAACAACAGCGCAAAAATTCAAATGATCAATCTTTCTGATGAAGGCTCGAAGTACCGAGTCGAAAGCTCAAAACAAATTATTACAATCCGGAGAACACTGTATAATTTTGTAAAAATTATAATTTAATAAAATGCCTGGATTACAAATCTTCAAATCTATTATATATATATATATATATATATATATATATATATATATATATATATATATATATATATATATATATATATATATATATATATATATATATATATATATATATATATATATATATATATATATATATATGTATGTATGTATATATATGTATGTATGTATGTATATATATGTGTGTGTGTGTGTGTGTGTGTGTGTGTCT